AGAGCGTTTGCAGATCTTTTTTTTTGCTTGACAAATTTGCTCTCCTGCATTGCTCCCTTCTGCAGAAACACTCTCCTAATGGCTTGTTTACTCAGCAGACGGATGAATTGTGTTGTCTGAGGCTCTGTTAACTGTCCACAGTCATCCTGTTGGCATTTTAAAGGAGAGCTGAACCCTTTATACAACTTTGTCCTTTTTAAGGGACCTCCGAGTGCTTCATACCTGGTCCTGTATTGACCGGAGTCCTTGCGCTCTTCCCTGTTCTGAGCCACACAGCCTTTAAGGAGAACTATGAGGTAAGTGATTTTCACTCACCTCATGGTTCTAGCCGACCTGTGACAATGAGACTGTCACAGGTTGGCTCAGTAGATCGGGAGGTGAGCGAACACATACCGGCGTTCGCTCACCTCTCGATCCTGTCGCGGCTATCTGCCATGACAGGGGAGGGGCTGGATTCCCCCCTCCGCGCTCCGACCCGCCAGCGCGGACTGGGAGGGGAGGGGGCGGGCACAGCTGGCTCTGCCTCTAGATAGGCAGAGCCAGCTGTCAGTCACGCAGCTGGGCGGATCCCGGCACAATTGTCGGGATCCGCTTCAGCTGCGGCGTCTCAGTATACCGCGAGCTACAGCTCCCTATATACTGAGCCTAGGGTGACGGGAGGACGCTAGTTTGTGTCCTCCCGTTACCCCTAAGGAGAACCATGGGGAAAAGCCTTAAGCCCATAGTTCTCCTTTTTAAGTGTCGTAACCAGGTTCTGTTCATTGTGATCATGCCGGCTGTGGCCCCGTTCATTCCTATAGGGAGATATGCTCATGGCAGCCTCCAGCAATCCTGCAGAGTATGGCTTGACCAATAGGAATTAACGGGGCTGCAGCGCAAACTGTGCATCGGGGCAAGGCAAATCCAGTGCTTGTCCCTGAATGGGTAAAATGACAACTGGAGGGTGAAGAAAGCAGAGTCTGTGCAGTGAGGCTCTGCTGATACTGCCCTCCTATATGAACGGGGTGCACAGAGAGCAGCCCAGCTAATGAGACGTTTGGCAGGCTGACTGCATCGCCCTACATCCATCGACGCGCCATCTTTCACACGATTGGGCAGCCCACCACCCTGCGTTAAGGTCCCCTAGAAGAGCCAACTCCTGGCTAACTTTTTAAATTAGTTTGAGGGGCGTTTTACAGCCTTTTAACTTTGAATTGTTTTAATTTTAGGGTACTCGCAGCCTCCGGCGGTGGGCACCGTGGCCTTGCAGCAACCCTACTACCAAACCAATGGCTACCAGACTGGATTTCCCGTGCTGCCGGCAATCCCACCTCAACAACCGGTCCAGGTTCCCTATGTGGTTCCGCCACCGTTAAGCTCCCCCGTGCCCCCGATGCCTTCAGTTGTGCCCACCTTGCCAGGTCCTGTACACCCCGTGCCAACGCAGTATCCAATCCCACAAGGGCAGCTTCCGCTCGCTGCCATACCTGTAAGTATAACTGTCGATTGGATTGAATGGTTACAGCGGACCTTGCACCCCAAAACAAAGACCCTCTTATTTGCTGAGGTCACCACTAGGGATGCACCGAGTATTTGGGTGAGTACTCGTACTTCCTGTATCAGGCAGCCGGCTTACCGACCAATCAGGAAGCCGGGCAGCACGTCATTGCACGCTGCCCGGCTTCCTGATTGGCCTGGAAGCCGGCTCCGTGCTCTCTTGTCACTTGTGACGAGAGAGCATGGAGTCAGCTTCCCGGCCAATCAGGAAGCCGGGCGCCGTGTAATGACGCAGCGCCCCCAGCTTTCTGATTGGCCGTGGAGCTGGCTTCATGCTCCCTCGTCACCTCATGACGAGGAAGCATGGAGCAGGCTTCCCGGCCAATCGGAAAGCCGGGTGTCGCATCATTTCATGGCGCCCGGCTTCCATGATTGGACAGTAAGCCTGCCCCATGCTTTCTCGTCACATAGTGACGGCTTCCTTGCTAATCGGAAAGCCGGGTGGCGAGTCATTACCCGCCGCCTGGCTTCTTGAATGGGACTTCTCGTATTCGGTATCGGCGGGTACCGGGAAAAAAAAAAATATCGGTACTCAATACCGGTATCGGTGCATCCCTAGTCGCCACCCATGCAAAACAAAGCTAAATAAGCGTTCCCTTCCCCCGGCTTCTGTGCGCAGGGGGTGAAATATTTTCCTGGGAATGCAGAGTAGCCAAAATTTTGCAAGATGGTGTCGGGATTTGGCAGCTTGGCTCATTATTGTGCAGTCTGATCTGTTGGTGCAGATAAGCCCTCCAATAGAGCTCTTTATATGCAACCCCAGCCCTGATCAATATAAATGTGTGGGGG